TCTATGTGACAGAATGTGACCTGGTTTATGAAATGAAACTTTCTAAATGACTGAGTAAAATTGAGGTGATAAAAACAGCCAGTTAAAATCATATTTCATTCATTTAACTTTTTTGGAGAACAGACTGAATGGAAATTACTTTTGCTTCTAAAATCGTCATGATTATAATGTTTAGCTCTTACGATTCTATCAGTGTTTTGTATTAATGCACTGTGGTGGCCCCCCTCATTGTCCAAGATTCTTCTCCATACTCTAAAATAAACTGGATTGTATAATGGCATCACAAGTTAAACTTTGTGCTTCATTATACAACACAAATGGTCAAAAATGCCTGCTTAAAAATTCAATATAGGCAGTAAGTGACATTTATACTGCACAAACTGAATGAAATTAAATGATTCAAATAAAAATAATGTGTGTCACTGTCGTCTTAACACAATCTATGGGAAACATGGTATATTACAACATGAATAAACACGAGTGTGGATTAGCCTAATCCAGGGGTCTCCAACCTGTAGCTCAGGATCTACCAGTAGCTCTCCACCCCCTTCTAAGTAGCTCGCCAAGGGATTTCGGAATTTTACCACTGTGCTGAATAACCAAAATGTGGTTAATTACATGCCTATTAACATTGCAAATGTATCATTTTGAAACCCAACTTTGTGCCCAAGGCTTGCTCTTTCTCTTATAATCGTCGTTTCTTGAGGCCGCTAAAATGAGTAGCTCTTTGGCATTTTTATTTTGTAAAGAGGAAAATGGTTGGAGACCCCTGGCCTAATCATTTTGAGACCCCTACTGTTGAATTTACAAAGTATGAACTAAAACTGCTATATAATGTACCTATAGCCAAGGCACAGTATCAGATACTTATCAATACTAAAACTAGTATCAAAACTACCATTTGAGCAGGTATCAATACTAAAAAAAAGTCACATTTACAAGACAAAAATGAACCTTATATAACTTTGGAATAATCTTGAGCTGTATCAGAACAAGTATAAGAGCACATAGACTAGTATACACCCATGGACCAAGAACCCACCTGGACCACTGAGGATTAATCACATATAAGACTACAACAATTTAAGTCAATATAATATAAAAGGATGTACTATGATTTAATGTTAAAAAATCACATTCTATTGTCTAAATAAAGAGTGTTGTTAGTGTAAGAATGCACTAAGTCGATTGAGTCTATTACTTAGTATCAAAATCGAGTTTGAAATTTAAACATTGTGACAACACTAGAGCACTTTATGGTCAAATTAGCCTTAAATAAAATATTAAAATAGACTGTACCTGAAAGTAGGCAGGCATCCCCTAAGAATAAAACGAGTGAGCACTGAGCAGTTATGTGAACGCTATGAAAACCTTTGCCTATATAAGAGGTGACAACATTACAGCAATGGATTTTAGACTTTTGCATTTCCTTATTGTTTAATGACTCAGGTTTACTGCACGGGAGTTTAAAGACCTCTTATCTTATCGTACTGTTTTGTTTTGCTTTTTGTTCCCTTTAATTTAACTTAAAATAATAATGAAAATACAATGCAAATAATGAAAATTGTGTGAACATGTGTCAGTTTGTGTAGTTTCTGGGTTAGATTTTCTTCAAGGTTCTTATGAAATGAGATATTTACGATAAAAAATAGGGCACCACCTGCAACTATAAAGCAATAAAGGTACGTGTCAGAAGAGTGGAATTAACTGATGAGATATGGAGCTGGTCTAGTTACCTATATAGTTCTCCTTTTTTCCAAAACAAAATTACGACACTAGGTAGGTCACGCAAACATATTTTTAAGTAATTCTAGATGATAAATGATCGTATCAAAACAAATTTATATCACTAACACGAAAACATAAAAGCAGATTTAAAGCTGCATTCTGTAACTTTTCTGGTGAAGGGTCCATCACCTGCTTGTTTCTATGTTTTTGTCATTGCCCTGCCTGGAATGTTCCACAGTGTGACTTTAAACAGCTCTATGTTATATTTATTCAGTTGCAGGTGGTTTTATAGCACAAAATACCTCGAAAAAACAGATTATGACTGAGCGGGGTCACCTCTCCATAGATCTAACCTGTAACTTTGTCTGCTTTGGATTCCATGAAGATAGAAAGGTTTAATGCCACTCTGGGAAACATTTCAAACAAAGCAATAACATCTCCATGGAGAAAAGCACTGAACAGACACGTCACCAGAAAAGTTACAAATGCATGTTTAAATCACAAAAAATCTAAATCTACAATATTGTAAAAATAAATAAATAAATAAATAAAAATAGCACTATAGTATTTAGTTTACATCTGTAATGAAGTTATTAATTCAACGTTTTACAGCTTAAATCTCATCATATAGCCAGAAATAACCAAAAGTTTCCAAGTAGTGAAAAGAAAACACACACACAGTAAATACTAACTCCAAAAAATATTGTTCCATCTTTCATATATTAAACAATAAGTCAATATAGTAATTATAGTGACAGGTATAGGTATTATATGGACAAAAAAATTACTACATTGCAAAAACTAATACTAAATCATTACATAACTATCAGTCATTACTATTCTATTGGAAATCATGAATAATACACTTCAATGTGTCATTACAAAGTGTATTATTAAAATACAGTGACAGGGTTTTGGACAATAGATGACACATTTTGGTGTGAATCAGAATTTTAAATATACAGTAAGTAAGATTACTTCTGTTAACTCTACTTAGGTAAATGAGTGGGGGGTCCTTAGTTTAATAATAATAATTTAATAACATTATACTTCTAAAAGTAGTCTTCAAATTAGTGTTAATACTAACATTTCAAACTTGATTTTGATACTAAGAAATAGGTTTATACTCAATACAGATTCCAATACTGATACTGATACCATAATGACAATTAAAAACACTCTTTCCTTAGACAATAGAATGTGATTTTCAGCATTAAATCATAACACTTTCTTTTTTGTGTGGTTCAGGCAGGTTCATAGTGGTCCATGGGTGTATCAAATGAGTATCTAGTTTCAATACTAGTTTTATTATGTGATAGTATCTGATTTTCTTTGACAAACATACTTCAGGTACCATGTTTTCTACTACTTAAGTACTTAGGTCCTAATGTAGAAATCCTGGTCTAGTCTGGGTTTAGTCCTGCACTAGTCTTGGTTTAATCTTTTGTTTAATTCTAATCTAGTCCTGGTCTAGTTTTGGTCTAGTCCTGGTCTAGTCTTGGTCTAGTCCAGCTCCAATCTTGGTCTAACTCTGGTCTTAGACTTATATATGGACCACCACATCACCTAAAATCCAAATCCTGACTTCTGTACTAATATAACTGTACTACTTTAACTTCTGTTATTACATGTAGCAATACCAATAAGGTGTCTCAGTACATTTTAATAAACAAAAAATCACGAATACAGCTAAATATGGGCTATTTTGTTGACCTTATTTATAGAGACCCTGCAACTATATTATAATGGCTTGAACAGCTTCTTCACAAAGGCTGTTGCATTGAATTAGTAATAGATGAGTAATGAACTGACAGCTGCTCTGGCTGTCTGGCTCTACACATGTTGGGACCCCCACCCAGCCTCTGTCTCATACCCGGGGGTGACAGCCTGTCCGGGGGTGACAGCCGGTCCGGGGGGGCTTTGTACCTGGTTCTGGAGGCTCTGGAGGTGTGCCATGTTCTCCGGAGGCGGCTGCTCTGCGCGTACGCCGTCTGCAGAGGCTCCTTCGGGCTCTCCTTGTCCCCTGGATGTGGTTAGCTAAGGCGGCTAGTCCAGTAGATCAACACCCAGTCTGCTCGGGCTGTGGATGGGCTGTCAGTCCGGCGGAGAAGCCCTCACCGCGGCTTAAAGAGCGAGCGACGCCATGGAGCTCCGCGGAGACGAGCGGGGCGAAAAATTACTCCTTCCGCGTTTTTAATATTTAATTCATTTCAAGGAACGCATAGCCTGTTGTTCATTTGAAGCTTCAGGACAAAATAATGGCCCAGATGGTGAGCGCATGCGTGATGTCTCAGCAGGCAGTGGCATTCTGGGAGTTGTATTCTAAGCGGAAGGCTTAAACTACTTTCGTTTGGGGCCCAGCTGTGTGGACTAGACATTAAGCCTTTATAATCGTGTAATAATAACAACAGATCTCTACATTACAACACACTTCCAGAAGAGGGGCCGTTCACTACCAGTGTCGGTGGTGGAGGGTAGTACTTAGGCTACTTCTACTCAGTTACATTTACTTGAGTAACTTTTTAAGGAAAGAATAGTTTTCAGAGTAATATTGTAGCAGAATACTTTTATGAATAAGATTTTACTGAAGTAGCAGCACAATTATTTGAGTAAAAGTTTTGGTTCCTCTTCCAACTGTGAGTCTACAAGTGACAAAAGCTTTATATTGACAATATGAAATGATCTGAACATGTGTGTTTCTTGCATTTCTAATGCTAATGACAGAGTTTTGCATCCTCTATGGAGCAGCAGTTCTACCTCCATCTCCACCCCAAGTTTATTATGTGTAATAATAGGCCTAAATATTGTTTTTGAAGCAGTATGGATCGATAAAGAGGGGATTTAATCAAGTATGTCAACTCAACTGTTTAAAGATATCTATTTCCTCAACATAAAGAGATAAGTAGCCTATTAACTCTCTGTCAATGATCATTACAGTCAGTCAGTCTAATGGATGAAGTTAGACACGCATATGAAATATTGATGAAATACAACAGCATAGATCTTTTACTGAACAATAACAATAAATGAATGCAATATATCCATATACACAATATTTTTGATTTGGTAATTTAAAAAAATTTTAAAATTTTTTAAAAAATTTTAAGATTTTTTTATATTTACATTACATTACATTAATAATTTTATTTATTTTATTTTTTTTATCAACACCCAACAAACATATAACTGTCACTGTGCGCTCGTTTTTTATTCCAGGCCGCACCGTTAAGATCACAGCGAGCACTTTTTAGTTACGTCCTCTTAGCCCCGCCCCAGCGTGCACTTCCGGTACTTGTCTCCTGAGCTCCTGCGGTGGTCAGTATCTTGTTTAGCTTTCACTGGCCCTTCGTGCGGCTGGTGGATGCTGCTGTACACACCTCTACTGGACACATGCCATTTTAATCCGGTGCTAAAAACACAGCGGTGAGTAAATATATACACGGATTAGGGCTGCTACCTGCGATTGGCAAACTAAGAATGAAACGAAACACGACTGTCAAACCACTAGCTAACATGTTGATTGATGGACGAATGACTTCTGCTTAGCTCTGCAACAGGGTCCATAAACATTTCCCATTTTATTTGCATCTCTGCTCAAATATATTCGTAAATTTTATGTCAAAAATTCTGTCTATGTGGCTATTTCTCAGTGACATTGAAGAAGGTGTCAACATGAGCTAACGTTGTGTAATTTCACACACAGTACTACACACTCCTGATGACAGATAAAGAAGTATTTTTGGCATCCAGGCTTCATCATGGAAAGCTGCAGATCTATACTTTCCACATTTAATTTCTGCAGTGGAATTGTCAGTGTAGCAGTGTCCTGAATTATATAACTATACATTTTAATTTCCATTCATCTGTATGGTGCTGCTATGGACGCACAAACCTGACAACCATATTTATTAAAATTTAACAATAGGGGAGGGTGATATGTTAATACTTCCTTTTATATTTCCATGTGGTCTTTTATCTGTGTCATCCCTTAGTGGTCCAGGTAGGTTCCATATTGGTCCATGTATGTATACTAGTCTATGTGCTCTTATACTCACTATGCTACAAACACAATATCATTCTAAAACTATTCAGGAAAGCTTCATTTCTGTCCCAAGAAAGTGACTTTTTTTAGTATTGGTACCTGCTCAAATTAGTATCTAGTTTTAGTATTGATTAGTGTCAGATTTTTAATACATGTGTTAGGTGAGGTTTAAGTACAGACAAATGGAATGACATAAAATTACCCACAAAGCTTATACTACTTTAAGAACATTTGACCATTTTAACTTTCTCTTCGGACCCTCTCCAGGCGGGATGAGTGTTCCAGCTTTTGCCCCTCCCTCTGCGGATGTGGCGGAGATGAACCGTATCCACTATGAGCTGGAGTACACAGAGGGCATCAGCCAGCGCATGAGGATCCCAGACACACTCAAAGTGGCCCCTGACAGCCAGCCGGGGCCCCTGCCTCTACAGCAGCCTCTGCCCCACACCACCATAATGCAGGTGCCTGAGAGGATCATTGTAGCAGGTCAGTCTGGATATAATGTCAAATATGAAAAGACACTTTATTGATCCCAAGGGAAATTCAAGTTTTTCTGTAGCTATTGCAGTTGATGTTGCTGCAGCATTTCCACTGAGTGTCTCAGTCACCTTTGTGTCTCAGTCAAAGGTCTCAGTGTAGGAACTGGTCAGGGAGGGTCAGCAGATCCTGTGAAAGAGCCACAAGTGTCCCTCCTCTGCGTCCTGCAGCATCACAGCAGAGTCCAGGAGAAAACCATGTGAACACAACAGAAAAGTCCTTGCCCTTACTCCACTCTGGTGTTTTGATTGGTGGCGAAATGGTCCATTCCCTCAAGGTGTTTCCTCTGGAAGATCTTCTGCCACGCACACATGTTGTAAAAAACCTGTAGCATCTCAAATGTCCATAGCTAGCTTCTCAGCTAGCCTCTTGTACTGTCTCCATGGATACAGGAAAAACAAACTGCTCATTTCACACAATCCAACAGTCCCTTACCTGTGTCCTTTGAACTGCACATGCTGCACTTCTTAATTGGTCAAAATTGTTAAAAACTGAACTCTAAAAGTGTGTGAGCCAGGTAGCCACAAAAGTAGCTAACCATTCCATATACTTACAAAAACACCCATTAAAATACAAATTTTTTAAAAAATTACTTTTACTGGCAGAAGTGTTGGCTGTGGGCCAACCTTGTACTGACAGTTAGAGCTGACTAAAGCTCAATCTTAATTAAAATTTGATTAATTGCACAGCCCTATTCATGTATATGTTTGATCACCATTTATATTTTTCTTGACAGGAGATGAAGACGACCCTCGGTTCTCTCGTCCCAGAGACTTGGACCTGATCCAGTCAGTCCCTCAGGCAGATCTGTTGAACATGAAAGCCCCTCCTCGTGTTCTCACTCTGTCAGAGCAGCCTCTGGACTCACTGGAGACAGAGGAGACCCGCACACAAAACAACCAACAGGTGACTGCACAGACTATGGCTCTGTTCAATCTACATTCACTTTATTTGTCTCAAAGCTTCTTTACTGATTATCTGTCACTCACACTTAAGAAATGGAGTCACTCTCCACTTTAGTCCACAGTCTCTGAACCTGCTCCTGTGCAGGGCTGTTAATGGGCTGTTAATGGATACACAGAGCTGATGTCAACCAAAGCAAAAATCCACTCTCAAACACTGATTTATAAGTAACAAATATACTAGTTAGTAACAATGTCCAGGTTAACTTAAAAGGATTGGTATTTTGGATGACATTAGTAATTAGTAACACCTCAACTATTGTTATGGTAATGCAAAAATGCATCATTGCAATCTGTCTTATCACCTGCAAAACGAGTATTTTCAGTATATTTCAGTTACTGCCATGAGCCCTCTGTTACCTCCGCAGGCACAGCACGCTCGCTCTCGAAGGGAGCGCAGTGTGAGCGACAACATTTCTGGTCGTCATGGTAGCCAGTACAGGTAAGCACGCATGTGTAAACCAAAGCTTTTTCCTGTTTATTCAGAGTTTTTTTCTGAGCGGGTCTGCCCCCTAGACCAGACCTGTAACACATGTATTACTTTTCTCTTACTTGTATTATCTGTCACTGCATTAAAGATCTTCTCCTGACTGTAGAGGGGCTTTATTGGGGTTGACTACTTTCCTCCTAAACTTGTGTCTGCATAGATGTTCTCTCACATAAATCTAAACTTGCATACTCCACCAGCTAGATACAATTTACTCCATCTCTTTTCACCTAATAATAATAATACGTTGGGTTTATGCAGCGCCCAAAACACTTTAAATTGCATTATTCATTCACTCCACTCCTCTCTCAAGACTGCTGTAGCTACAGCTGCCCTGGGACAGACGGTTGAAATTTAGATTACCAACCTGCGCCATTGGCCCCTCTGACCACCACAAACACCATATTCATAGTAGGCCATGAAGTGTCTTACATAAGTTTGCCATAAGTTTTGCAGAGTTTTGCCACTGGTGCATCACTGTGGCACCTGATATTCTCAGCGGTCTCCCATCCAAACACTAACCAGGCTCATACATGTAGAGAATGCACAGCGGTTATTGAATATCCAACAGGTTTCTCAGAGATGGATGAAATGTAGAAGAAAGTTCCTAATTTGAGAATCTGTTTTCTGTGTCTCTCTCAGTGCCAGCCCCTCTCCCTGTGCCCCTCCCATGCGCCCATGCCCTCCTCTGTCTTCGCCCGAGGATGCCAACGTGAACCTGTTCACCGCCGCCGGGTTCCTCTCGTATGTTCAGTCCACCACACGCCGCGCCTACCAACAAGTGCTTGAGCTCATAGACGACAACCAGCGCAGGTACAGGCCTAGATGACTTTCTATAGTGAAGTTACTGTCTGTTACTTTCTGACTGATGTTCACAAATGAATAACTGTTTGATTCAACCAGGACGCCTCATGACCTCGCTCTGGATTTTCATGAAGAATCAAGTTTAGTTGATGCTTCGTCTCTCCGAAGACAAGTAAGTCTCAGGGGAGGGGATATTCAAATACATGTCACGCATATTTTCTTAATGCTGGACCTCCTAATTTTTTTATGGTTCTGTACTTCCCTTAAATTTTTTTTTATGATCAGTTGGGTACTCACTACTCTGATGCACTTGGAAAAAATCCATGTATCGGTGTTGTGTAATAGATGACAATGCATTTTATTGGAATTTATGTACTTAGTATCACTATTATATTGCATTTTATTTGATTAAAACCATTTGCTGTTTCCAAGAGTTCACACTGATGGGAAGTAATGGAAAACCACTCTCCCCATAGGTTGCAGCCTGACTCTTCCAATTCCCATTTCCCATTCATTTTCACCATAGATTTTCTGAAAAAAATAAAATAAAATTGTAATCATTTAACTCTTAATATTTGAAATTTTGGAAAAATGTATTGGACAAATTAATGGGAAACGTACTTCCCAAGTGGGAGGAGCTTATATACTTCTTCTACTAATGGGTGCAGTGGAGTGTGTGTGTTAAAACTGCAGTAAAAACACTGAGTCATGACCCATGACCATATTACCAAAATAGTGCATCATCAGATTAGTCACAGGGATAAGACCATAACAGTCCATAAAATTTATGGTCATATTGCTGTAACATTTTATAAAATATTTATTGTAAATTGTTGGGCAATAATCTTGATAAGTAACTGGGATAAATACATAATTTGAAATATGTTTAACTAGGAAACAAACATGTATAAAAATGTAATTATTTGTTCAATAAAGCTACCATCTGTACATTTATTTGACTCCCACACCCCTCACCTGGCCTTTGTTCAGACTCACCGGTGCTCTCTGGTTTTCTTCTGTCAGACCAAAGCTGACACACTATCAGACTGCAGTAAAATAGATAACATCATCAAACAAATTTGTGAATAACTGATTCATATAATGGTTTAACCATTGACTTTAACTATGACTGTGTTCATGATGTCCTAATTTTTGGCTAAGTCTACTACAGGATACTTGGGTGTGAATAATTTTTCCCAACTGCCTTAAATTGATGTCTATATATTTTTGCAGATAGTGAAGTTGAATCGCCGTCTGCAGCTTCTTGAGGAGGAGAATAAAGAACGTTCGAAGAGAGAGGTGGTTCTGTACTCAGCCACTGTGGCGTTTTGGCTCATCAACACCTGGATCTGGTTTCGCCGCTGAACACTTCCTCTGTGTAATAAACCATAGGCAAGTTTATGTTGTGTTTTCGTCTCAACATATGCGTCTTGACTACTGATATTGCATTTAAAATATATGATTGTTATATATGTATTTTCTCGCTAGTAGACTGGAAAACGCATAGAGCACAGTTGATAATGCGGGTTTTGCTTTTTTTATTTAAAAAAGTCTATGTAGAATCAAGTTTACTGAGTGTCTCATCTAATGCACTACTGCAGATATAGAAATATTTTGGTACATTAAACCTGCATATTTATTGACATCATTAAAGGAACTATGTGTAAGATTTAGATTTAAAATTTCATAAACAAGACTGTCCTGAGATATGAGATAACAATGTTCAAATCAAATATAGCTTTTACTGATAACAATTGTAATGCAGATGCATTCTTAAAGGTGCATTATGCAACTTTTCTGGTGGAGGATCCATCACCTGCTTGTTTCTATGGATATGTCACTGCTCTGACTGGAATGTTCCACAGTATCACATTTAACAGCTCTACCTTACATTTATTCAATTACAGGGGGTTTTATGGCTCAAAAATGCCTCTAAAAACAGGTATTCTGACTGTGAGCGGGGTCACCTCGCCATAGATCTAACCTGTAACTTGGTCTGGTTTGGTCTCCATGAAGATAGAAATATTTAATGCCATACAGTGAAATTTCAGACAAAGCAATAACATTTCCACAGAGAAAAGCCTTCAGAGATGGACCCTCCACCAGAAAAATTAAACAATGCAAATTTAATTATAAAAACAATGGATATAATGGCCAAGTTCTTTATGTTATAACTTGGCGTTTTGTTTCTCAAGATAATTTTCCAATCAGAAAGCAGACTCACATGAGTCTTTCATTTGGGTTGCCAGTTTCAATATTAAAATCCAGTTTAAGCCTAAAATGACTCTTTACTTAAGCCCCAGCCCCTGCGGCCAATCATGAATCATGAATCAGGAAATAAATGTCCTCTATATGCAGGCTAAATTAAAGCAATGGCAACCCAGGCTCGACTGTGATTTTAATATATCAGTATAATAATGGAGGCTACATACAGTTCCTTTAAGTGAATATTTAAAGATGCACTGGGTAACTTTTCTAGTGGAGCATCTGCTACCTGCTTGTCTCCATGAAAATGTTATTGCTTTTTCTGCAATGTTCCACAGGATAGATTAAACCTATCACGAGGGACACAAGCAGGTTACAGCACAGTGCTACATTACAGTTCAGATCTGTGAAGAGTCGGCCCTATTCACAGAAGGAATTATTGTATTTTTGAGCAACAGAAACACCCGTGATGAATAAATGCTAGATGGAAATGTTTAAAGTCATAATGTGGAATATTCAAGGCAAAACAATAATATCTCCATGGAGACAAGCAAATAGCGGACCCTCCACCAGAAACGTTGCACAGTGCGTCTTTAAGAGTAATAGAACTTGTATCACATGTTTCGGGAGAGCTGCCATGGTAAAAGGACCAATCCCAAAAAATAAAAGTGTCAAAAATAAATAAGCTATCGATGCCATATATTTCCTGAATGCTGTTTCCCATAGATGTCTAATAATAAATAATATAGTTTAGTCCACTATATTATTTTTTTGACCTTGTACTTATAAAACTGCTGTTAAGTTTATACAAAGTTATTTATTTCAATGCAGAGAGCACAGTTTTCCATCTGTGTTACCTGCTCTGAGTGGTTACTTTTTATTAACAAAGTGGTACATGTGTGTTTTGTACCACTGTTCATGTTTTAGATACCATTATTTTTGAATAATGAAATGCATCACTTTTAATTTAATAATTATTATTTCATCTGCATGGGAGTTGTAAGTTACCATTTTGTTTTGTCATATGTTATGACATGTTTGTATGAAAAAGTGTAATAAATGGATGTTGTTTCTGTCATGACTTTGGTGGTTGTTTTAATTAGGCCCGAGCGCCAGAGGCTGGCGAAGGGCCTATTAGTATCGCAAAGCGATGCTCCAAGTGGCCCGAAAAATGGAATGGCGCGACGTGACTCGCCTGTAGTGACCAGGGACCCTCGCCATCACGTAGCAATGCGCCAGAGGTTTCCGAAAATGTATAGTTTGTCGGCCAAAAAAAAGCGGAACATTGTTCTCGCATCAGAATATTATTAGGCCCGAGCGCCAAAGGCTGGCGAAGGGCCTATTAGTATCGCAAAGTGATGCTCCGAGTGGCCAAAAAATGAAATGGTGCGATGTGACTTGCCCGTAGTGACCAGGGACCCTCGCCATCACGTAGCAATGCGCCAGAGGTTTCCGAAAATGTATAGTTTGTTGGCAAAAAAAAAGTGGAACATTGTTCTCGTATCTGTTGGTTATTCTCCTAACCAACTCACCCATTTTTCACCCACTGAACAATGATGAAAAGTCCTGAAATTTTGTCATCTGGTAAAACTCGCGCTTCTCTAACTTTTGGCTATTTTCATTTTCCAAAAATAAATAAAATGGCTCGTCAGCGCCCCCAAACGTCTCAAAAATGCATTAGGGAATACGAATGACACACAAAAAAATGTGCATGTACAGTCATGAAATTTGACACAGAAGTCGATCATGTCAAGATAAGGAAGAAATATTATTACGCCAACACCGTGCGCTCCACTAGGGGGCAGTAATATTGGCTTAAAGTTGGCTAAGCTTTTACGAACTCCTCCAAGGGCGTTCACCCGAACGAGCTCAAATTTGGTCCACATTATCTCAAGACGTGGAACATTAAAAGTTATCCACATTTTTCACACACGTCTTACGGTCTCTGAGCAGTGAAGCAACAAAAAATGCACACAATTTTGGAGATTTACAAATTGCTCCCATTTGATCAAACAAACTCTGATTTCAATGAAATTTGAAAAAGTTGTTAATCTCTCTGCCCTGAAGCTACTTAATTTAGCGCATTAGCGCCCCCTATAGATTGAAACAAAATTTAATATGTGAGAAAATCATTTGTTCCCAAATAGTTGTTCAAAAGTTTCTGAAATTTAGCACAAAATTCCATTTTGGCATCCTGATCCAAAAGTCAGTAACACCCATGTCATATCTTTTATGGCGTTGCCATAGCGATGACATAAACTCTCCATTGGTAAAATCTACAAATTCTGGTACAAACTTTGGCCAATTTCATTTAAATTTTATTCGCAGGTTCACACCCCGACTCTGAACAGATTTATATAAGAAAATCTCAGGTGGCCGCAATAGCGCCCCCTAGGGAAATTGCACGGTAGTGCCAAAATTTACTTTGTCGTAGACATATAAAATTTCGTAAACAGATCCACGACATGGTCTCGATCAAAAAAGTCTAGGACGACCCCATGCCATTTCCCCATCGTGTTGCCATGCTGACAGGCTAAACATCTGACCTTGCCAATAGGACGCCCAACAAAAACTTTGGCATAGCCAAACCAAATTTGGTACACAGATGCATCATGGGAATAGGAACAAGAAAGTATATTACGTGGTTGCTAGGCAACCGACAGGAAGTCGGTCATATTGGATTGATCGGGCGACCTGGCGACGAAGGCACAAATTCCTGTCCTCATACTTGAGGCGTTTGACCCAGACTCACCAGAATCATTCTGTATCATCTACACAAGTGGGACATTAACATTTGTTAAAAGCTTTTTAAAAGGTCAAACGGTGTTGCCGTGGCAACGGTGCAAATTTCGGGTTTGTTTTTGGGGCTGACCATTAAACTTCGACGCCTGATAATTTGCACAAACTTTGGCCAATTTCACTCATATTTTAACCGTGGGTTCACACCCTGACCCTGAACAGACTGATGTAAGAAAATACAAAAATGGGTGCAATAGCACCCCCTAGAGAATTTATATGTAAAAATAAGATTTTATTTGTCACAGATATACAACATTTGGCACCCACATTTGTGACATGGTCTCGATTAAAAAACTCAAAAACTATGGTTAGGATTACGATTAGGGTAAGGCTTATTAGGCTTATTACGGTCAGTGTGAGGTGCGGCGTTTGCGGGGCGCGGCGTTTACGGGCTGCGGCGTTTGCGGGGCGCGGCGCAAGCACGCGCGAGGCCCGATCATTGCCGCTTGCGGCTATATTTTTTTATTAGTCCAAAAAAAAGCGGAACATTGTTCTCGTATCTGTTGGTTATTCTCCTAACCAACTCACCCATTTTTCACCCACTGAACAATGACGAAAAGTCCTGAAATTTTGCCATCTGGTAAAACTTGCGCTTCTCTAACTTTTGGCTATTTTCATTTTCCAAAAATAAATAAAATGTCTCGTCAGCGCCCCAAAATGACTCAAAAATGCATTAGGGAATACGAATGACACACAAAAAAATTTGCATGTACAATCATAAAATTTGACACAGAAGTCGATCATGTCAAGACAAGGAAAAAATATTACACCAACACCGTGTGCTCCACTAGGGGGCAGTAACATTGGCTTAAAGTTGGCTAAGCTTTTACCAACTCCTCTGAGGGCGTTCACCCGAACAAGCTCAAATTTGGTCCACATTATCTCAAGACGTGGAACATTAAAAGTTATCCACATTTTTCACACACGTCTTACGGTCTCTGAGCAGTGAAGCAACAAAAAATGCACACAATTTTGGAGATTTACAAATTGCTCCCATTTGATCAAACAAACTCTGATTTCAATGAAATTTGAAACAGTTGTTAAACTCTCTGCCCTGAAGCTACTTCATGTGAAAATTATGAATTTGGTGCATTAGCGCCCCCTATAGATTGAAAGAAAATTTAATATAGAAGAAAATCATTTGTTCCCAAGTAGTTGTTCAAAAATTTCAGAAATTTTGCACAAAAATCCATTTTGGCATCCTGATCCAAAAGTCAGTGACACCCATGTCATATTTTTTATGGCGTTGCCATAGCGATGACATAAACTTCATTGGTAAAATCTACAAATTCTGGCACAAAACTTTGGCCAATTTCACTCAAATTTGAATTGTTGATTGACACCCCGACCCTGAACACATTTATATAAGAAAATCTCCAATGGGCACAATAGCGCCCCCTAGGGAAATTGCATGGTAGTGCAAACATTTACTTCGTTGTAGACATATAAAATTTGGTACACAGATTCATGACATGGTCTTGATCAAAAAAGTCAACGATGACCCCATGCCATTTCCCATCGTGTTGCCATGGTGACAGGCTAAACATCTGCCCTTGCCAATGGGACGCCCAACAAAAACTTTGGTGTAGCCACACCAAATTTGGTACACAGATGCATCATGGGAATAGGAACAAAAAAGTATATTACGCGGTTGCTCGGCAACCAACAGGAAGCCCGCCATATTGGATTGATGGTGCGACCTGTCCTCGTACTTGAACGAACTCGTCCAAGGGAGTTTGACCCAGACAGAATCATTCTGTATCATCTAGACAAGTGGGACATTAAAAGTTGTTAAAAGCTTTTTAAAAGGTCAAACGGTGTTGCCGTGGCAACGGTGCAAATTTCGGGTTCGTTTTTGGGGCTCACCATCAAACTTCGTCGAGTGATAATTTGCACAAACTTTGGCCAATTTCACTCAAATTTTCATCGTGAGTTCACACCTCAACCCTGAACAGACTGATGTAAGTAAAGTGGATGCAATAGCGCCCCCTAGCAATTTGCACAAACTTTGGCTGATTTCACTCAAATTTTAATCGTGGGTTCACACCCCGACCCTGAACACATTGATGTAAGAAAATACAAAAATGGGTGCAATATCGCCCCCTAGAAAATTTGTATGTAAAAATAAGGTTTTATTTGTCACAGATATACAAAATTTGGTACCCACATTTGTGACATGGTCTCGATTAAAAAACTCAATGATGCTCACATCCCATTTACATTGTGTTGCCATGGCAACAAGCCAAAATTGTATCCTTGCCAATGGGACGTCCTTACACAAACGTTGGCGTAGCCAAACCAAATTTGGTATCCAGATGCATCATGGCAATAAGAACAAAAATGTATATTGTGACCACGCCCCTTTACAAACCAGAAGTTCGCCATCTTGGATAATTTTTTTTGCCAATTTTTGAAAATTGCAGGGTTAAATTAAGATTTATAGGGCTAGGGTTGGGGCTATGGTTAGGATTACGATTAGGGTAAGGTTTACGCTTTGGCTTATTACGGTCAGTGTGAGGCGCGGCGTTTGCGGGGCGCGGCGTTTGCGGGGCGCGGCGCATGCGGGGCGTGGCGTAAGCACGCGCGAGGGCCGATCATTGCCGCTTGCGGCTATATTTGTATTTAGGGTCGAAAGTAGCTCAGTTGGTGGTTCGAATCCCACTACTGAGAGTAACACCTTGCCAACCGTGTGTGTGAAGGACTGAGTGGTTCCTTCTTGTAAAGCGTGTTGGTGGACAAGCACTGTATAAAAATATTACCATTTATCATTTATTTATTATTGTTACATTTTTACATAAAATTTAGGATGAACAATTTTAGGCTTTTTCAGAATTTCAGATAACTAGGGTATTCATATAACCCAATAACAGATATGATTTTTGATTTGTTTACATGCACAAAAGAAATCTGATCATTGAAAATATCTAGTGCATTTATCAGCAGACTTTTAGCATATCTGTTGTATTTGTTGTAAGTACAATTAATTTGAACTCTTTCATTCTCTTCTGCTTGTCTTTTTTTTTTTGTTTTTTTGTCTAAAACCTGCACAGGTTTGAACAATGAGAAATAAATCAGATTACTCACAGTAGATGCAACTGTTCAGAATGAGAGATTTTTAGAATTAGAATACAATTTTGATGTGCCTGTGGGTTAATTGTAGTTGTTTACATGACATTTCAGTAATCTGATCACTCCAGAAATCAGATTAGGATCAGATTTTTTGTGGGCCAGACTCAGATCCATGGCCAGACTAGACAGCAGTGTAATCAGACTTCTTGAGTTGAGGTTGTGATGGGGCCCCCTGTAGGTAACCGGAAAGAGGAAGCTACACACTCCTCCGTCATCCGCGCAGACCACATGATTTAAATGTCCCGAAAATACAGCCTTTTATTAGTAACCAGGAAAACCAAGCATGATTCTGCCAATTGGTAACTTATAGCGTTTTTATTCTTAATTCCATACACGTCTTTGATTATTTATTTTAATCGCAGTAATACTTTGGTACGGCTGTAACAATGGGCATCACAAAACTGGCAGATTTAGTTCGCTCTGAAGCTCCCAATGCCATTTCTCACAAAGACATCAGCGACTACTCTGGTACGTGTTTAAGTAAAGTATTGACTTCATTGTCCTGACTGATCAGAATTGTACATAAAGCTGTTTTTTTTTTTTTTTTTTTTTTTTTTTGGTTGAAGCTAAGCTGCGCATCTTTTTTGCTATAGCTAGTAAGGTCACGTGACACAACAAACCTCTGCTGACTGTAAACTTAAGCGTTTTATTAACTACAAACTTAAGCGTTTTATCAACTACAAACTCAAGCGTTTTATCAACTAGAAACTTAAGCGTTTTATAACTCATCATTTGGACATCTAATTTCTGCTTTTATTTAAGACGAGAGACAAGCTCGATTGTAATTCATTCATTGATTTATTGATCTGTATCGTGTCTTTTTGGCTAGTTATCTTCATTATTGCCTTTAAAAAAGACAAGTAATGTTGTAAGATGTAATTAAGATCATGTACATGTGCATCTACGTGGGTTCTGTACATAGACTGTACACAGAAGTTTCTCTGTATCTGTGTATCAAAATTAGATTGACAAATTGATGAAAACATTGTAATAGAGTAATAAAAAAAGATGTCTGACGGGATGGCTATAGTTTCATTGTTCTCTTTGTTTTACTTCAGGAAAAAAGATTGCACTGGATGCATCGATCATTATGAACCAGTTTCGGGCTGCACTCAATTCAGTGAAGTAAGATTTTCTTTTCTTCAGCTCTCTGCAAACATTTTGATTCTAATATACAGTGATAAATAACATTAACTTAACATCTCTTGTGTTGTGTAGTGGTGGCGTGACTCTGGCTCTGTCTGGGCTCTTCTACCGTACGCTGACGTTACTGGAACATGACATAAAGCCTGTGTTTGTGTTTGATGGGAAACCTCCAGCTCAAAAAGTGGCAACTGTGAGTAACTTTGTACAGCTCTATATTTAATATATAGTTGCGCTCTACATTCTGCAGACACAACAGATTCTAGTCTTTTCTGTCAGCAGCTCTTCTAAAACAATTAACTAATATTATCCCTGTACATACATTCTTGTAGAGGTTTTCTATTGACTCATGATTTGTGACTATTTAAAAAAGAAAAAGAGAAAGGACTCTGCAGAATGACAGGAAAAGTTTTCACAATTCAGCAAAGTTCTGATATTGGATTTGTCTCTACAGCAGTGATGACAAGCTACCTGACCACTAAATCTGCACTGAGAGCTGCATTCTAGGACATTTCAAACAATTATACAATTCAAAGAATTGTTAAAAATTGCTTTCCACATCTGAAACCTTATTAATTGAATTATTAATAAGAAAAATATTTTGTGTGTACTCTCATTGCAGCTTCAGAAAAGAGCAGAGGCAGATGGAAGGAAGTTCACCAACTACTTAGGCTTTGGTATGAGTAAAAAAAAAAATAGATCAATACATCAATTATCTATTATCTATACTGATTAATAATACTGTTATCTTTTTCACAGCATCTGCCCAAACCAAAAATTGTATAAAACTGCTAGAGCTGTTGGGCGTTCCAATTGTTCAGGTACAAACCTGGGTCCTCTCATACTTTGCAGTGCTGTTTTATATACATCATAAAAGTTATTTTGTGCCCAGGCTCCAGGTGACGCAGAGGCCCTCTGTGCACAGCTGGTGAAGGCAGGGGCTGTGTTTGCTGTGGCCTCAGAGGACATGGACACTCTGCCATTTGGGGCCAACATTTTGATACGACAACTCAACGCCAGTAAGGACAGGTAAGAGATACTCTCCTTTCAGCAGATAACACACTATTATAATTGCTTGGTTTCAGATGACATATATTTAAAGACTGGGTATTACTCAAAATTAATTTTTTTGAGCTTTTGACTTGTAACCCTCATCAAAAACAAGCAATCACAATCTCCCTAATTGAACAAGTTTCAGAAACTGAAAATTATTTAACATGTTATTACATTGTTTTTGACAAATATAGCATTTTCAAAACAATAAAAATTAAAATGGTGATCTAAATGTGTTACATGTTACCGCATAGAAGTGTAATACTCCCCTTTAAGTTACAAGTCGATCAAAATGACCATTGTTGATTGTGTTGTTTTCTGTAGCAAATTCAAGGACCTAGTCACTATTCTATAAGACCAACATCTTATATCTTCCTCCAAAAACTGGCTTATGTCCCCATCTGGAACTATGACATCAGGCAAATTTTAAGTTTTTTTTTTTTATTTACAAGATATAATATATTGTTTTAAATTGTTAAGTGCTATGGCTATGGTCTTCAGGCTCCTTGTAATGCATGGATTATTTTGGGATCATGGGGACAAAACTGTATAGATTGGACCCAATATTGGTATCAATTCAGATAACAAAAACGAAGTGGTTAGTTGCTTTTGTGACTGTTTGCCTCACACACTGAGCGGTTTATGAAAATTTTAGTTTTTTTGAGCTCAGTATTTAATATCATATGGGATTTTAACCAATTATGAAGTGCAGCATGTGCAGTTCAAATGACACAGTTAAGGGCCTGTTAGATGATGTGAAATGAGTAGTTTGTTTTTCTTGTATTCATGAAGACCGTGCAATAGGTGAGCTAAATTTCTAGCTGAGAAGCTAGCTGTGGACATTTGAGATGCTAGAGGCTTTTTACACCATATGCAACAGCAAATGTGGCAGAAGATCTTTCAGAGGGAATATTTTTAGGGAATAAACCATTTCATCACTAACCCTCCCTGACCAGTCCTTAAACTGCACTAAGACCTTTGACTGAGACACAAAGACAAATAACTGATCACCAATATTAGAATGAATATATTACCCATCTCTAAATGTGTACTTGTCAGCCATCTATTAATTGTACTGTTGTAAGATTGTTCTTAGCTAACCTTACTCACTGACTTTATCTTCACAGTGAAGTCACAGAGTACTCCCTTGAGAAACTACTGCACAAACTTGAACTCACTCAAAAGGAGGTAAGGGAGATACACATTATAACCAAAAAAGTCATTGTGAAAATCATTTCTTATTTTTCTTTTGTAAATTATTTTTTTGTGTAGTTTGTAGATCTTTGCATTTTACTGGGCTGTGACTACTGCGACAAGATTCCAAAACTGGGTCCCAAAAGAGCCCTAGTCTTAATCCAAAATCATCGAACAATTGAAGAAGTGGTTTTGCACGTCAAGAGAAAGGTAAAGACTGAACTAATAAAATATTATCATGATTGAATTTGATTCAACTCAGTGAAAAAATGTAATTTAACTTTCTCCATCTCCAGACTCATCCAGTTCCACAATCTTGGAATTATAAAGCAGTAAGAAAATTATTCTTGGAAGATTCAAAAACAGACATCCCTGAGTTTGTCTGGAAAGAGCCTGATGAGGAAGGCTTGGTTACGTTTTTGAGTCATGAAAGGAATGTCAAGTGAGTATGTAACGTGAAACATTTTTCCCCCTTGTTTCAATTCTCTCTTAAAGGTGCTCTGTGTAATTTGGATGTGTCATTACTCTGCTTTGAATGTTCCACAATATGACATTAAACAGATCTACCTTACATTTATTCAATTATAGGTGATATTATAGCTCAGAAATATTTAGACTGACTTTGAGTGGGATTGCTTTTCCACAGATCTGACCTGTAACTTGGTCTGGTTTGGTCTCCATGAAGATAGAAATGTTTAATGCCATACAGTGAAATATTCCAGACAAAGCAATCACATCTCCAGGAAGAAAAGCATTTGACAGATCCTCAAACAGAAAATTGACACAATGCACCTTTTAAATTCTGATAAAACTTTGATTTTTTTGAAGCGAGGAGAGGGTTCGAAATCGACTGGCCATGTTTCATCAAAAGCGCAAAAAGCTCAGAGAAGAAAGAGAGAAAAATAAAGGATGTAAGCAGACACGGATGGAGGACTTCTTCAGAATAACCAGGAAAAGAGGAGCTGTAAGTAAAACAAAACAACAAAAAACTTTTAGCGACCTCTGGTGGTTCTAGTAGATTACAATTCAAATTTTTTGGCAGATCAGGCCTGGATCAGTTCATTTGCCAATGTCATCCTTCCATCACACATTTCTCTATGTAACATTTACACTTTGCAGCTCATGTTCCTGGAGGTGTGAAGCTAATGAAAGCACTAGAAGCTGCGTTACTCTAAAATAGACTGAATCTGAGCTTGATTTTAACACAATCTGACCATAAAGAACTGAACTAGAAAGTGATCTGATTTGTTCTGTTAAACAACTCTCTCAAACATAAAATTACAGTCATAAGATACAGTTTTTCAGTTAGTCACTTTCACCTTTTTGTTCAAACTCAAACACCTAAACAGAACCATGGACGTTAGTATTGATTACAGGCTCCTGAAAGTGTATTCTTAAATCCAGTTTGTATTTTTCTCTTGAGAAATTTTTTGTCAGTGTTTGATAATGTGTGCATTGTGTCGCCATGGTAAGTGTTGAACATTCTACCATAGACATACATGTAGGACATCCCCAGCTTGCTATTACCGCAAAGTATCTACTGTATTTTGTGCACTATAGGGCGCTCTGGATTATAAGGCACACTGTCATTGAATGGTCTATTTTTGAACTTTTTTCACATATAAACAGTGTTGGGAGTAACGCATTATAAAAGTAATGTATTACAGTAATGCGTTGATTTTTGCTGTAACGCAGTAATGTAAGGCAATACAGTGGAAAAAATTGTAATATTTTACTCGGTACAAATGTGAGTAATGCGCGTTACAATGCTTTTTTAACCTGGATTGAAGTGGTGGGTTTTTCTTCATAGAAATTCGCTAAAATCAGCAGCGGTGAAACGCCGGAGACGCGGCCAGACAGACCTTCAGTTAACCGCGGGCGAAAGGACCGACCCCGAACTCTACGCTGTTTAGACCTGGTTTAGACCTGGGTCACGTCTGGTTTAGACCTGGTTTACAGTCGTCCCTCGCTCTAACGCGGTTCACTTTTCACGGTCTCGCTGTTTCGCAGATTTTTTATTTTTATTTTTTTGTGCAATTTTGCATGCCTTTTGTTTTTAGTGTATGAACACGTATTGCATTCCTCCCGCTGCGTCCTGATCGGCTAAGGGACTCCTGTCCCCTGCACAGTAATGTACAGTACAGAATGTGTTCAGCTGCCAAATTTAAATAAATGTTCAATCTGTAGCAGTGTGATTCTGAAGTGCTGTAGCCTATGTCTGCAAGTTTTCTCTCCGACAAAGTCCACAACGTCGACGAAACGTTCTGCACCGACAAAGTCTCCTGCACTCACACCCAAAAGACAGAGGACGATGCAAACCATCACACAAAAAGTTGGACTTCTGGACACGTTGAAGGAAGGTAGAAGTTACACGCTGTAGCAGAATCTTGCACCGGGTCTTGTACCCGCAAATAGTTGCTGAAATCAGGACCGCGAGCCCCCGCAGCAGGGTGTCCATAAAGAGCGATTGGGTGACAGCAGCTCTTACCTCCATGAGGTGCGGAGCAGAGCCGCTCCTTTCTCCTGCGGTCACCTTCGAGCCCGTCCCGACAGTGAGTCCTGTTTTAGTCCTAGTTCAGTTCTGGTTTAGTCCTCCTCTTCAGTCCTGGAATCAGTCTGAGGTTAGTCCTGCTATAGTCCTGGTTTAGTCCTGGTTCAGCTCTGGTTTAGTCCTGGTTTAGACCTTGTTTAGTCCTGGTTCAGTCCATATACGGCTCAAAAGTTCAGCTTTTTCGCAGTTATTTTGGTGAGAGTAACTTAAAGTAATGCAATAGTAATGTAATGCCTTACATTTTAAATACAGTAATATTGTAATGTAACGAATTACTTTGAAATGACAGTAATAAGTCATAAATAACACATTACAGTTTTAAAGTAACTTGCCCAACAGTGCATATAAACCACACCGGACTATAAGGCACATTAAACAAAACACAACAGTTAGATTAAGTAAGTCAAACTTTATTTAACGTGTTCACAATAACTCTCAACTTTGTTCAATTTTAATGTGTAAAAAAAATAAATGAATACTGTCTGAGACGCTAAATTGTTAATGTATTCACAATAAGTCATAATTGTTCAAACAGTTGGGTGATTCCGGCGTCCAGCACGCCCACATCCCTCTCGTCATTATCCGAGTCTGTGTGGTTACTGTTCCCTGGCAGTTCAGTGATGATTCTGGTCTTGGTGAAAGCTCGAACCACAGTTGATACTGATCCTTAGCCCGGGCGTCCACGATCCGTTGGCAGATCGTGGCGCAAGTCTCTCGGCTCTGTCTTTGTGAATGTGTGTTCTTCTTCTCTCATCCACTGCTCCCACGCAGCTCGCACTTTCACTTTATAATAGTCTTGAGTTTAAAATGGGCATTGTGAGCATGTCTCTTGACAGGTGCAGTTTGATATTAAAAGGAATCACAGTATGTATTACTCCTGATGCTCCTGACTACGGGAGCCGTAATGCTGCAAGTGGAGCGGCTTTGTAGTTTACTAAAGTCGTACTAAGACACCCCAATAAATTCATATATAAGGCTCTCTGATTATGAAGTGCGCACTCATTTTTGGATTAAATTAAAAGCTTTTAAGTGTGCCCTATAGTGCGGAAAATACGGCATATACTTTGAGAAATTGCCCCCTCCCCCCAGTATCTTTTCACATGCTACGTTTTCACCTCCCCTTTCTTTAATCAAATTTCAAAATAACCTTGTATAATATCAAAAATACTAATTCTGTATACTTATTTTTAATTGTGTATGTTTGTTTTTTCAGACTGTGGATGCTGCAGAGTCCTCGAGCAGCAAAGAAAAAAGGCCGAAGAAGACTAAATAAAGATGGATCTGTCCGTCTGGTTGCAAATCTCAGAGGAGCCATGAAGAGAGGCCTTGTCCTTTCCCACCTCCTGTTTGTAAATGATCATCACGACCGAGTGCCTTTGAAATCAACCAGAATCTCCATCACATCAACGGACATTTTAAACATAAATATCTCTCCTCGCAATTATGATATTAGATTATGTTCATTATTTGAGAATTCAGTGATAAAGTGGCGAGCTGAATCACTATGAAAGCGGCCTGTGTTGTGGTGGAGAAAGGCAGTCTTCTTATCACAGACTCGACAAGCACCTGTTGTGTGCTGGTGCCAAAGTCGAGGCTATAGAGCTGATTGTAAAAAAAAAAAAAAGAAGTGAGATGATTAAATCCGCTAAATGTTACTTTTATACATTTTATATTTACATTTTTATTGTTTTAGTCTGACTTTTTAATGTATACAAAATAATGTTTGAATAAATCATGGAGTTAAAAAGGTCTAGTGTTGTGTGTGTTAAAAATATGAGATGGTTTTAAAAGTATTATATTCTAATTGTATAAATTGATTGAATTTTTATAAGGTTAGATGTCCAGATTAAAAAAAAAAAGACAAATGAGACTAGGCTACAAAACCCAAAATGGCCAACGCACTACAGTAGAACTATAGCTGGGTTGTTTGGGGAGAGAACGACAGATATCCAGATACTTCATAGATAGATTCTTTATAAATCCCGAGGGAAATTCAAGTTTAGCTGCAGCAATTTATTCGGTTTTCCACTGTGTTGTCATGTGAAATTTCAAACTAGTTTATTTTCCACTGTAATCATTAAGCAAAAACAATTCTTGAAGCCTCCCCTTTTTTTTTCTCATTTATTTATTTTTACACAGTTTTTACAATGAGATGTCATCCTAAAATTCAGATGAGTTTATTTCTTTGGTAACTTTTGAAAGACTTTCCACTGTAAACAATACATTTCTTGAACTTTGTAGATGCCTTTAGGTACAAAACCAGACACCCTCTCATTCATGTTTTTTTTATTACTACTTTCTACATTTTAAATACGTACAAAAGACACTAAATGATGTAGCAAAGAATTATTTTCTATTCAAATCCTCAAAGCACGTTGGCTTTTCTCATTGCGATTCAAGATGAAGTCTCTTGAAATGGTTTTCATTTCTCAGCTGTGCCATGTCAGAGTCAAGGAATTCCAAGTAAACTCGGGTTCAAAGTAAAAAAAAGGCTTACATTTTTTTTTAAAAGAAGTTATGAGTTATTTTGAGTTTAAGAATTTTTTATTGCTACATTTCATACATGACCATTCAGTGCTTTGATGTCTTCATTGAGAATCGTCTTGTTAAACAGAGATGTTATCATTTTTGATGTACTACTACAAAATAAAAAAGAACTCAGTGTAAACTTAATATTATGTCTTGCCAAATTTTACATCCACAAATGTAAAACTCAGAAATGTCCCCCTAATTTTGCTTGTTTTAAAAAAGAACTCAAATTATATATAAAAGCTCTGAAATATACGAATGGACCTAAACCTTAAAAAGTGTATTCCTACATGTGTGAAATACCCCTGGACTTTGTGAACTCGGGTTAAATGAACTCTACTTCCCTTACTGTTGTCCTTTTCTCTTCCTAAATGCACTTTTGTTTTCTTTTTTGTATTGTATTGTTTCTATATAATATGTTGTGTTTATGTTCCCTCATCCCAACGTGTAACTGCTGACGACACACAGCCATGTTTTTGTTTGTTGCATCGGGTTTATGCACCCAGTTGTGAGTTTTAAAAAAAAAAAAAGTCTTCATTGAGAATCTATAATGTAAATACTCCAGGAAATAAATAAGAAACAAGTGTCTAAACTTTGACTGGTAGTGTAAATTAGCTCGTATTATTCACTTGGTTTTCCCGTGTTGTCATCCAGAGTGCAGTTCCATTCCAATCCCTCAGCGGGCGCTTCTTTCCCCGCTCCACTCTCCCTCTCCAGACTTCCCCCTCCGTCGAAGCGCAGCAGCGGTCCGCCCGTCTCCAGTCTCCACGGCGCACAGAGCTCATCCGCGGCGCGACTGTCTGCCTCCGCCCGTGGCCACCTCCGACGTCCTCCGCGGACAGCCCCACCTCACCTCAGCCAGCCTACCGCCCTCCCCGCGCCCCGGGTCCGCGTGCCGCCGCCTGTCCCCCCCTCCTCGGGCGCACATCACCGCTCCGGAGCTGACCACCATGGCGACCAGCGCGAAGCGAAAGCAGGAGGAGACACATTTGAAGATGCTGCGGGAGATGACTAGCCTCCCAGCGAATCGGAAATGCTTCGACTGCGACCAGCGCGGCCCGACCTATGTTAACATGACAGTGGGCTCCTTCGTCTGCACCACCTGCTCCGGGATTCTGTAAGTTTGCGCGCTGTTTATCGATTTTTTTGGATGCGTTTGTAGGGCGATCCGCGGCTCGACAAGGCTCCGCTGTGGGTCATTTGAGGCAGGACTGGAGGGAGGTGAGGCTACAGCTGACCGGGTTAGCCCTGGTTAGCTGGCCGGAGAGTGCAGCCAGTTTTCAGGTAGATAAGAGACACTAAAGATCAGACCGGAGCCGAGAGACTGGGCTTGGCCGGGTCGATGTTTAGTTTTGTAACAGCGCGTTGTAACACGTTGTCAGGCGGTAGCACGCCCTTATGGAGATGGGATGAAGGGAGAGGACGCATGGGAATAAGCACATATCTAGTTTTACGCAGTTATTTTGTCGACTAAAGCCTATTCTTAACTTTGTAGTATGTGTCTTGGCTGTATTTCCTAGATATTTCCTTCACATTCACATATTTCTTTCAGTCAGTTTGTCTAGTTTAATATCACTAACTACCTCTATTTCATATTCAAATCTGCACTTTGTAACTTTGGTTTGGTTGGGGGTCCATCACCTGCTTCATTCTACAGATATGTCATTCCTCTGCCTGAAATGTTCCACAGTATGACATTAAACATCTCTACTTTACATTTATTCAATCACAGGTGGTTTTAAAGCTCAAAAATACCTAGAAAAACAGACATTCTGACTGTGAGCGGGGTCGCCTCTCCACAGATTTGACTTGTAACTTGGTCTGGTTTGGTCTCCATGAGGATTAAAAGGTTTAATACCAGACAAAGCAATAACATCTTCATGAAGAAAAGTATTTGACGGATCCTCGACCGGAAAAGTTAAACAATGCACCTTTATGCAGTCTTTTTTGACAGTGTAGTTAGTTTTTAGGTGAAAGGCAATACAACGAGCAGCAAAGTAAGATTTTAGTTCATGTTCTTTTTAAACTGTGATGGAAATTTCAGTCATGTAGTCTCTCACTGCTTGGAGATTGATCTAATATACTTGAGTGGATAGAGATTTGTTATGGTCCATGCTATAAAAGTGTATCCATTTATAAACTTTCTATTAACACGACAGTTGTGTTAAGAGTAGCTGTAATTGGCCATATATAGATTAAACATTAAAGAATTAAATGATTAAACGATGGTTAATAGAAGGGGAGGTTATGTTTGTAAAGGGCCCGGATGGCACTATTTTCTGATTCATGTTTTAATGTCGTTTCCTCATCACAAACATGCCCAGAGTTGTGTTTTCTGTTGTTCGCACATGTTTAACTCTTCACTCAAACAGAAAACACTCCACCTTGTGATGTCATGCACAGGAACACGTACAGGAAGTGCTCCGTTGTGTTTTTAAACTCCATACACCTTCACTAGAATCATTTGGAGCGTTTAAGAAACTGGATTTGCCTATCTCTGCTGAACTAAAGGTAAACGGAGATGTTCACTTCAAAACTACAACTTAGTGACATCACAAGGTTGAACAGAGCGTTTTGAGCTTTGGAGATGTAGACAGACTAATAATAAAGAGTTACTCAAACATGTGTGAAATGAAACAAAATGCAATTCCAGGTTTGTTTTTGGAGGAAGAAACAACATTAGAACATTTTTTTTTTTTTATAACTTTCAAAACATACAAAAACAATATAAAATCAAAAACAATGTAACAACAGTCTGGAGTTACAGGTTCTTATTTAAACGTGCATTTGGTATTGACATTTTTATGTACTATGTTGTTTTACTGGTGTCATTGATGAATACATTCCATTTTTCCCATTGCTCATCGTATTTGTACCCTTTAAGTTTTAAGATTATATGTTATTCTTTCCATCACTGAAATATTCTCCACAATCATGATCTAGTCTTGCTCTGCAGGTGGATCTGGTTGTAACCAATTCTTTGTAATTCACTTTTTAGATGCAGCTAAAACAATTTTTGTCAAATACATGTCCTCCTTCCTTACTACATCAGATCTATTTCCCAAATGCATCACCAGACATGTGTTCGGAATTCCATATCCCAGAATACTCGTTAAGGTTGTGTTTAATTGTTCCCAATATACCCTAATTTTCAGGCAACTCCAAAACACGTGTGTGATCAGCATCCATTTCTCCACACAACCTCCAGCATTAGAACATGTTTTAAAGCTCACAAGCTCACAAGAGTAAATTTTGCGTAACATAGGTCCTTTAATCAACCCCAGTCAATAAATCCTGTATGACTAGATTCTGATAGGATAACATAGTCAAATTATTTGCAACAATACAAAATGTAATTAACTAAAGACCAATGTTGAAATTTAAATTGTAAATGAGGAGTTATAAATGTTTCTCAAAGTAAAAGTGCCAAGTTATAATCGTATTTCCAAACTGTTCATTCATTTCTATTTCATTCAAACATCTACATCTCATTACAAATATGGCAGCCGTTCAAAAAGTAGAATTATGTTCTCAGTGCACTTTGTAAACGACTCCAGGAAATTGCTAAACAAATACAAGAAAGCCAGAAATTTCAGAACTTCAGAATTTTAGTTTGTACAGGCCTAAAACTACAGGGACAACTCGATTTTTTTGGTATAAACAGAGAATAGACTTGGACTTAGACAAACTTTATTTATCCACAAGGGACATTATTTGGACACAGGAGCTCACACATCACAATATAATATAATAAAAAAGAGTAAAAATAGAAATGGTAATAATAAGATTTATATAAGTAGTAAAAATAACAAAAGACTCGTGTCAAATAAGTCTTAACCATATCAGTGTTTATGTACAAGTAAACTAGTAATAGATTACATTCTTATACTAATAATTTCAGCCTTTGTGATTTGAGAATTGCTCAAACTTGTGATTCTGAGTTGATTGTGATATGTTATGTTAGCCCTTTATTTTGCAAACTTGTCACTATCACAAAAAGAAGTGAGCATAGAGCATTTTCAGTCGTCAGTTTCAGTTCAGATTTACTTCTTCTTCTACTGTATCTAATTTCCGTGCCCTATAAACCACGGGTAATTCTAGCACAAATGATCTTCGCTAGAATCTCTCACGGACTTGCTCTGGGGTTGTCAAAAGTGTCGAAAATCAGACACTGATTGATAATAAAACTAGTGTCAAAACTAGATTCTCATTTGAGCAGGTATCGATGCTAAACAATCTTTAGAATGATGTTGAGCTGTATCAGAGCAAGTATCAGAGCACATAGACTAGTATACACCCATGGACAGTGTTGGGAAGTATCTGAGTACATGTACTGAGAAGAGGACTGGTATCATTAAGTAGTTGCCGATATGATACATACCTCGATACACAGGCCACGATACGATACATACCTCGATACAGTGCACGTTTGGTTTGATACGATTTATTTCAACTCGATTCGATATGGTTCAATAAATATTAAGTCTAAATCATGGCTGTGATACGAGAAGTCTTTGTTAAACCACTTCTTGTGTAAAGTTAAAATGAAACACGCCTGTTTTAATCATAAAAACAGTGAAAATATCAAATGTGTCGCATAAACGAGTTTCCTTCGTCTGAACAAACAACAAAACTGGAGCTCTGTAATAAAATAATTGATTAAATATACAAAAATACTCTTGGTGATATATCGATACAGCAGCCCACGATATCGATACTGTGTCATCACATTAAATGATACGATTTATTGATATTTTGATATTTTTGCACAACCCTAATTGAGACTGTATATTCAGAATACACATTTTGAGTAACTGTATTCTGGCACAATTACTCTTTCATTACATTATATTACTTTTGTGGTGTGATTTTTCCTTTTCTATTTTATGACAGGAAATGCGTAACAGACAGTGAAACAAAGATAAAACTGTTTTTAGTCCTATGTTGTGATTTTACACTTTAATATAAATGAAGCTTGATGTAAAAGTATTCAGAATATTCAGAATACAGTACTCTCATTGGAACATGTACTAAAATGTATTTTGTAACATATTCTGGTACATGTATTCGGTAGTATTCTGTCACTACATATGTCTGCAAAGTATTCTTCCCATCACTGCCCTTGGACCACTATGGAACCTGCCTGGACCACTGAGGGATTACACACACATAAAACCACATGAAAGTACTATGATTAAAGTAAATAACTTAAGTACTACAATTAAAATGTTGAAAATTACATTCTATTTTGTTATCCTTACAGATTCATTAGAATCTGTTTTGGATATGGAGTGTATTTCTTAGTACTGAAACCTAGTTTCCATGGGTATGTCATTGTTTTGTTTACTTATGTTCCACAATATGACTTTAAACAGCTCTACCTTATATTTATTCAATTACAGGTGGTTTTATTGCTCAAAAATACCTAGAAAAACAGGCGTTCTGACTCTAAACAGTGAAACATTCCAGACAAAGCAGTAACAACTCCATGAAGAAAAACACTTGACAGCGCCTCCACCAGAAAAGTTACTCAATGCACCTTTAAATTCTGATTAAAAAAAAAACAAACAAACAAAAAAACAAGTCTATTCCTTAGTATTGAAATCAAGTGTGAAATTTTAGCTTGTTGACAACACTGTTTTGCTCTAAGGTGAACCATATTCCTGATTCTCAGTCAAAACAGTTTTAAAAACAACCTGCTGACCCATAAAGTTAAATATTTGAGGTGCTATTTTGAAAAGTGCACGTCATCCTCCATTAGTTAAACCTTTGGCAGGACAGGCCACTGCGCACACACCTTTTCAGATAAGACTGGGGCGCGCTTTTACACCCATGGGAGACGCTGGTAAATGGTGTATTGTGCAAGTTTTCTTGTGGAGGGCCCATCACCTGCTTGTCTCCATGGCGACTATATTGCTTTACTTGAAATGTTCCATGGTATGACTTCAGATACATCTGTTTAGCATTTAGTTATTACGGGTGTTTCAGTCACTCAAAAAATACAATAATTATTTTTATGAATAGAGTTGCCTCTCCACTAGCCTGATTCATCAGCCAGTTTCACTTCATGGAAACCGTCTGACCTCGCAGCATTAGAATTTGTTCACTCGACAGTAG